ATATATATATATATATTAATGCACATCAGTAACTCACCAGTAACTTATTTAATGTATGTTCGTTTAAGAAAACATTGTAAATAACTGAAAATCCGGCGACTGCAATCATCAAACCCTTGGGTACAACTGTGGTTGAAACAAAAGTTCACAGGTCTGTGTTCTCTGAACTCCTATCAAGCGGTGGACGTCTTCATTCTGATTGCTTGCCGCCGAACCGCGTCATAGCTCATTACCATAAAGTTGACTTGATTTCAACTCTCCTCTTTGCCCACACCGGCGAAGACGTGCTGCGCTTCCCCTCGCCGCTTATCGTTGCCGGCTGTCATTGAAAATGAATGACTTCCGTCTACTTTGACGCTCTCGCCGCTTTCGGTGTGAACGTACGGTAACGGTTCTCACCAATCTGGCCAATCTCAATCTGGCCAAGTTTACAAGCTGAGGAAGAGGCACGTGCACACCCGTATATGTTATACATCAGCAGCACCTCAACATGTGAGGAGGTACATGATGTGTGGGGGCTTGAGCGATTAGTGTGCTCACGTCACAACAGCTAGAAAAATATATACAGATGCAGTGTGACCTCCGTTTATACAGTTTATTGGCGTAACTCGCGCGAGTCATGGTTTCTTTGTTCCAGCCATTGTTTTGCAGTGTTTTGAGCTGCTGTGACGTGAGCAGAGCAATCATTCCTATCTAGTGTCCAACCATATGACCTCTCCCAGAAGCTCTGCGAACTGTCTCCATAGTGGCTCCGTGATGACTCCGCTCTCGTGAATTGCATGGTTAATCATTTCTTAACAATTTGTTTTGTGTTTATCTATTATTTTGTGAAAAGCTGCTTCTGGCCATGACATGTACACACTAAATGGTTATAATAGACGTGTTTAAGGTATTATATTCAGCATCCTTAATTTATTCTCTCAGGTAAGAAGAAAACTCCACTTAAGTATCATACTTAGAGGAAAAATGTGCTCTATGCATTATAAAGCTTGAAGCATCAGAATCAGTACTTGGTATCTGCCAATTGCCTTGACAAGGAATCAGAGTTTTCACGTTAGTGTTCAGGCTTTTTAGGTGTCGATAGAAAAAAAAATGGAGCATTGCAATTTTTTCTTTAACGATTGTGGATCGATTCTCATTTATTCGACAGCTGGCAGCTAGCTTTGTGCAACTTTCACATGGCTGCTCACTGTAGTTAAGCTGGACTGTGCCCTGTCAATACCTGGATGTGAGACCCCATGGGAAAGCTAGGTTGCTTCCGGAAGTGGTGTTAGTGAGACCAGCTGGGGGCATTCAACCTGCATTCTGTGTGCGTCCTAACGCCCGAGTATGTTGATGGGGACTCAATACTGCTCAGTGACCGCTTTATTTTGGATGAGACGTTAAACCGAGGTCCTGATGTAGGGGTTTAACCCTGGCATCCTGGCCAAATTTGCCCACTGGCCTTTGTCCATAATGGTCTCCTACCCGTATGATAATTGGCTTCATCAGTCTGTCTTTTCTTCACTAATCCGCTGGTGTGTGGTGTGCGGTCTGGCGCAATATGGCTGTTGTCGCGTCATCCAGGTGGATGCTACACACTGGTGGTGGATTAGGAACCCTCGCTATTCCTGAGGAACACCAAGTACACTCTCACATGCACTCATACACTGGCCAATTTAGTCCATCTAATTCACCTATAGCTCATGTTTTTGGACAGTGGGGGAAACAGCAGCACCTGGAGGAAACCCACACAAAATCAATTCATCCCTATTTCTTTAGCGCTTTTACAATGTAGATTGTGTCAAAGCAGCTTAACATAAAAGTTCTAGTGAATTGAAACTGTCAGTCCAGTTTTCAGAGTTAAAGTTCTGTTTATTTCAGTTAAGTGTGGTTTAATTTTCACTGCTGAAAGTCCAAACACTGAAGAGCAAATTCATCGATGCGCAGCTCCACATGTCCCAAACCAAGCAAGCCAGTAGCGAGAAACAAACTTCACCAATTGACGAAAGTGAAGGAAAAAATCACAGAACAGAGAGAACATGCAAATGCCTTATTCAGCACGTTTTACGCAGCCGATGCCCTTCCAGCTGCAACCCATAACTGGAAAATTATGCATTCAATCAGTAAAAATTTTGTTAGATTATCATCATTAGTTTCTAACACTATATGGTTTGTCATTTTTTTAGCAAGCGTGTGGCTTTGAATACACATCGAAACTCCAGCGCATGTTCCAGGACATCGGAGTCAGCAAAGACCTCAATGAACAGTTCAAGAAGCACCTCACAAACTCTGAGCCTCTAGACCGTAAGCTTGAGTTGTTCTCTAGTAGTCATATCTTAACTTGAGGTAGGGCTGTGCAATATGACTATATGTATTTGTCGTTCATTACATTCTAAATAAAATAGATTTCTGTGTATATACTTTAAAATGTAAAAAAAAAAAGAAATGGTTCTTTACATATGGTATACATATCGTAATATATATTATTCGGATATGTGTGTGACCCTCGTTTTTTTTGCCTAGATTTTTGTCATTTCACACAGCCCTAAATTAAAGTGTTTTTTTGTATTGTTTTTTATTAATGTATGTCATCATTATAATGTCATATCTTTTTATCTATATTGATCTTGCCATCAAATAGCCATAAATTGCTGAAGTTACATTGAGTATAAATAAAAATAAGCCTAGATAAATAAATAAAAAATGCCTTAAAAGTTGAAATTACAAGATAAAAAGTCTAAGTTATGACTAGGACCAGAAGGAATCTGCGGCCGTTTTTTGCTATTTTTGCGGAGAATTTTGGTTATTTTGGAAGTATCATAACTAAAACCTTAATATATGAAATAAAAAATAATACTCTTTTTAACTTTTATTTAATGTTTAAAATGCAAATCCAATTAGATTTACTTTATTTACCAAATAAAGCAAGTTTGTCATATAATCTATCTATTCAAAGACAGAAAATAATACTGTGCAATATGTATGCAGTGTGCATAAATCAGATGAGCATTTTCACATTAGTCACTAATATTACTAAAATAAAAAAAAATGGAATGAATATAGATTTACACACATTTACTCAAGTAAATAAACCGAATTAATGATGGGCTAAAGATCTGTGGGAAATCTCCTGATTTCTGCGCGTGCTGATTCCAGGTGGGCCTAGTTATGACCTAGTAAATATCATTAATAAGTCAAAATTATGATTTAGGTCAATATTATCACTTTTTAAGGTAGAAATGATGTTGTAATGCCAATAGGTGACGACAAACTATCTTAATGTGTCACTTTATTCATTGTTAAAAAACTATTAATCTAGTAGAACATAAAGTCTTTATAAGAATTATTGAAATGAAATCAAAATGTGATTTAATGTATTAGATAGACAGGCAGACAGACCTTTCGTAATTTCAAATTTGCAAAGTCATAATTTCATTTTAAGGTATGATTTTTTTTTTTTTTTTACGTGGCCTGAAACAAACTTCCTTAATTCTCTCATGTACTATCGTTCATGATTGAATCCTTGCTGAATGTTGTGTTGTTTTCTAGTGGACTTCAGCATTCAGGTGTTGAGCTCGGGTTCATGGCCCTTCCAGCAGTCCTGCACTTTTGCTCTGCCATCTGAGGTAAATGCAAATGCGCTTTGATGTAAATCCAGGGTTCACTGAATATCATGGAATTTTAAAAGGTCTATTCCAGACATTGATAGTCAGGGAATTTAAGTGATTTTTATGTCCAAATCATGTAATAAAAAGGATTTTAATTTGGCTGTTTAAAGTTTGCATTTCATTTATTAAAATGTTTTTCTGTATCGTGTTTATTACGTCGTTTCACACGTTTTGCCTATTTTTTTTGGTTATGTTTTTCACTGCCATTTTAGTCTTATTTTACTTGTAAACTGTCAATCAAATGCAGTTACCAGCATTACTGTACCTGATAAAATACTGTCGGTGGCTGGTTTTTGTCTGCCCAGTGCTCAAATTGCCCCTCTTAAATTTAGTAGAAAAAAAGACAGATTTTTGAGGCCTAAAATGACATATTTTACAGAGCCTTTTCTCAAAGTTCAATGTAATATTTGTGTCGTTTGTATATTGAAATAATAATAATAATCTAAAGCAGGTCACATACCATGTTAGAAGAAAATCTCCAGCAGTTACACAATTTAAAAAGCACCTCTAAGTTTTGTCATTTTCTTGATTTTGCTTTCAATTTACAAATTGCAGAATCGCTAAATTCTGGAGGGTCTGCTCAACACAACATTTGCCTGTTTTTCTGTTCATTATTGGTCATAGAAATTCTTCTTTTTAGTTACAGAGAGTCAGGGAATTCATCAATTTGGCTTAGAGTGGGAACCCTGTAAATCCCGTTCTCAATGTTTCCAGTTTTGTTTTAATTTTTGTCATATATTTCTTTTAATCCAGTTGGAGAGGAGCTACCAAAGGTTCACAGCCTTCTATGCCAGCAGACACAGTGGCCGCAAGCTCACCTGGCTTTACCACCTGTCCAAAGGAGAGCTGGTCACCAACTGCTTCAAAAACCGCTACACCTTACAGGTACAGAGTAGTGATGATAATCTACAGTTGAAGATGAAGTTATTAGCCCACCTCTGATTTTTTTTTTCTCTGATTTCGCAATTGTTGTTTAACAGATCATTGAGATTTTCCACAGTATTTCCTATTGTATTTTGCTTATGGAGAGTTTACTTGTCTAGGTAAACTAATTAGCATAGTAAAGCATTTATATTGCCCTTAAAATATGATTTAAGCCATTAGATTATAATAAGTTTTTTTTAGATGTTATTATCAGTATTGATAGTTTTTAAGATATCTATAAGCTAGTATGCTCCAAAACAGTGACACAATTTGCATTTAGAAAATATATAAAACTGACATAAACATGTAAAGCTTGTAGTTTGTCACTTCTGCCTAGATGAGTCAACGGTTTTATTCATGTCGCATCATACTTTAGTTTTTCATCCATTCATCACCGATCAAATGCTCTGTAGTGTCTGACATGTCGCACCCCTTCAAAACGCTTCTCATTTGCTTTTCATTTGATGCACTTTAGCTCATCCACTTTCCCTGGCAGAGCTGTGATAAATCAAAATGCTATTGGCTGTTTTTTTTTTTTTTTTTTAAAGAGGAGGAGCTACACTATGCCCCACTTCGTGTTTCAGTTGAGATTACGTCAAACATCGAATAAAATGTATATTTCAAAGCACTTCAAGGGACCTTTAAGCTGACTGCTAGTATGTTGTAAAATATCTAATCAAATATTATGTGCTGTCATCATGGCAGAGACGAAAGAAATTAGTTTTTAGAAATTACTTATTGAAACTATTTTTTTAAACTGTCTGTTAAACAGCAGGAAATATATAAAAAAGTAAATAAAAATAAAAAAGGATATAAATTTGTCTTCAACTGCATATGTCGCCCAAAGTTTTGGAGTCTATGGTTTTTAGTCTGTTTGTGTTAACCAGGCTGCTTCTTTCATTAATATTGTGGTTAAAAAAATAAAAACAATAAAAAGTCAAATTCATAAATATTATTAGAATTTACATCAGCTCTTCATTATGTGAATATATTTAAAATAATAATTTATTCCTGCAATGAAAATTCAAATATTCTGATTTGCTATTTATTTCCCATTGGCACCAATTTCCCCCTTTTTACAAGATGTGAGATAACAAATGCTTATGTGCTTATAGTGTCTCCAAAACATGTCTGTAAAGTTTCAGCTCAAAATATAACCATCAGATTTTTATTATAGCCTCCAGAATCTGCCCTTTTTGGTGTCTAAATACATGGTCGCTGTTTTTGTAGCCTGTGGCTTTAAATGCAAATGAGCTGGTTCTCCCCGCCCACCACTCCCACTTGTGTCTGCTTTTCATCATGTGTTATGTCAGATAAACGGCACAAGAGACAAACTCAGATGAAGCTGAAATACAGCTCATTAGTCAAAAATACCAAGTTTACTTGATGTATTTGTGGGAGTTTATTCAAGCCTTTCTGAAATGATGAGTCACACACAAATGCCTTTTGCAGTACACACACACACACACACACACACACACACACACATGTTAGCGTTTACTGACACCATGCGGATGATTATGGTGATTATCGAGGTTAAGAATTACAACATATTGAGTTTACTGTCTTTATTACAAACATGCTCTGTTTTAAAAATATTTTTAACGTATAAAAATCACAGACAGTTGGAACAGATATTTTAGTCCTAGTTTATTTGGAAAACAAAAACGTTCTGTGGACGTGTGTATACATGTTATTATAGAAACATGAAGCCAGTCAATCAATTTGGTGGACAGTAATCAATTTTAACGTCAGGAAATGGTTGGGTTTCTGTCACTCTAATATGACAGTGGACACACTATACATACAGACAGTTCAGTCCAAACAGCTTCGAAAGTTAATTATCATTATATGTGCCCTTTAATAAACATTCTTATCATCACCGATGTTGAGAACATTTTCTTCATATACTCTCTTAATTTTGTAGCGGTATTTGGCTAATAAAGTGGGTTGGGCGCCAGGGGTAAAAACCCCACTACAGTTTCTCAAATAATTCAGTTAAATAAAAAAATTAAGTTTCAACAAATGCATGATTTAATGAATCAATCGTGAACTCAATGCACTTTGAAATGGTTACTCTATCATGTGTTCAACTGATCTTATAAACATATACATTATCGAATTAGCAAACAAACAATATATCAAACAATGATCAATTTAATGCGAGAAAAGTAAATTTCCTATTGTAACCCCAAACTTTAATATTAAAATTAGAAATCAGTGAATTGTGCACTGCCATAACAGTTTTTTTTTCTATAGTTCTGAAGTGGAATTGACTCCTCTGTTTGATTATGTAAATTTCATTGCAGTAATTCAGTCTTATTTGAGTCATTTTAATAAAGCATGAATATTGACTAATATATATTTGTGTGTGTCCATGCAGGCATCTACGTTCCAGATGGCCATTCTACTGCAGTACAACACAGAAGATGTTTATACAGTCCAGCAGCTGACGGACAGCACACAGATCAAAATAGTGCGTCCACCGAAAAATTCTAATTTAAAACAATGTCCAGATATCAGTTGTGAATGTTCATCTAACAGAATTTTTGCATTTGTTTTTAGGACATATTGGTGCAGGTTTTGCAAATATTATTAAAATCCAAGTTGCTGGTAAGCTGTTCTTTTATTTTTCTTTTATTTTTAATATGTTTGTTGTTTTGATAAAAATAGATGCATTAAAAGCCAGCATGAAGTGAATAAGCTCATATATTTTATTGATTTCAAGGCAGTTTTCCATTTCTGCAGATGTCACTTATTTATGATTTTTCTGCTGATGAAACTTGATTTGTACATATTGTTAACCAATCACCAAGCAGCTCTTTAGGTGTTATTTAGTCCTGTTTAATCAAGTGGTTATAATTGGTTAATATAGAACATCCATGGAGGTTTGCGATCGAGAAGTGAAAGGGCACTTTCATTCATTTGAGAGGTTTTTTTTTTTTTTGCATAGGTTGAACCCTACTTTTGAATGTGCCAGTCTGCAAGTCATCTGTCCTCATGTCTTCATTTATTCAGTGCTACAGTCCAGCACCTGAAATGCAATACCTGAAAGTTTTACAAGTTTAGATGATATTAAAAATTTATGCAAATATTTTTTTTAAGGGTGGAGCCGAACCCGAATACGGTATTCGGAAAGGCACGAATAGCTTGTTTTTACGAATACTTGATTCGAACAAATACTTGAAAAATTATTTGTATTCGGGAGCAAGAAAAACACTATATCAAAAAGCAGCGTTTCCTCATGAGACCACAGTGCATGCCCGCGTGAGTGAGTGAGAGAGAGAGAGAGAGAGAGAGAGAGAGAGAGAGAGAGAGAGAGAGAGACACGCTCAGTGCAAAACGCGCCAAAGCCCGAAACTGAAAGCGAGACGTGACTTTTAAGGGACTGTTTCATATGGATTTATTAATCATTCTTACTGTTCAGTGATCGCAAACTGCCGTAGTTTATTAAAGACGCAAACCCCTCACTGCACGTCAGCTGCGCGCCTTCAGCAGACCTCCTCCTTCCTGCAGCACGAGAGCTTTATGATTGTTTATGCGCGCCAAAAGTGGCGGATCTTTCCGGTAAAATATCTGACTGCGTGTCACCGTATCCCTAAGGACTGTTAGGCGAAATATTTGACTGCATGTCACTGCATAACAAACGACTGAAACGATATAACTAGAGAAATCTCCACTGTGCCACTGTGCGTATGGCAAGCCGTTTTAGCATTTAAACCTTGTTCAGACTATCCATAAATATATTTAGATATATCTCTAATTATATTTTGACTTGTCATAATTATAATTCAGATTGGAAATATCTGCAAATATATTATGACTGACTAGTCATATTCCTCCATTGACTTCCATTGAAAAATATTTGCAGATATCTCTAAATAAACAAACAAACAAACTTTGTGTCTTTTTTTGTGGCAGGCAGATGACAATAGCAGGGCTGTATCTTTTAGTATTATATAGAATACTTTTGTTCTGCCAGATCTCCCAGGCAGGGTTTTATTTAGATTTATTTAGTTAATTTTAGTTTTTGGAATTCTGCCCATTGGAAAGAAGTTTTTTTCAGAAGAAGAACAGTTTTTTGAAGTATTATTTGTTTTTATTCTGTCTATTCAGTGTCCTTCAACAAGAACAGTGGTGGTGGGGTTCATAATATTCACAATGGGATTTTATTAGTTGTTGGTTTAACCATGGATGAGATAATGGCTTCTATGTTATTTTCTTTTCAATGACATTTCTTATCACATGTTCAAAAACAACAGCCAATATTGCATATCTATAATTTATATAATGGGTATAATTAAACAATACTTTCAATATAACGTAAATTAGAAGTGTAATAGAAAAAATATGTATTTTTGCGCCATTTTGAATTTTACTCGAATACAAATACAAATACAAATACTTTTCCCCCTCTCAACAAATACAAATACAAATACAAATACCGGCTGCTCCGCACATCCCTAATTTTTTTATAATTGATTAAAACTATTAAAAAGCAGGGACTTAGCTGAAGGAAAGAGAAAGTGATAAACTTTAGCGATGTATGATATATTTTCAGGGTGGATTTTTAAAGAATATTAGGCTACTCGATTCAACTGGACTTAACATTTTTACAGTTCGAATTGTTGACTGACTAGTAGTTTATGTATCACGTGGAATAAAGAGTCGAATAAATTGCAGGGAAAATTATATTCTGTGGATGCAAGAAAACGAACAGTTAGTGGCACCATCTAGCAGTGGTGTGTGGATCTGCAACCAGCATTGAAGAGCAAAGTATAAACCTATTAAATTTTTACTTAAGTGACTATTAAACTTAACTGCTGAACATTTAAACTGATAAAGCCAAAAATGAAACTTAAATTGTGTTTATATATATATTTTTTTGAGTTGTGAATATGTCATCATAACTTACTGAAGGTGGTGTGTCGCATTTCTAATGAAAAGACACTTTCATTTTAGTTTTTTCTTTTCACTTAAAACCATTTTTAACACATTTTACATATATGAAGTGAGCTGTGGATGTCATTTCATGTAATTTCCCCAATTTCTGTTTAGTGGAGATAAGATTTTTCAACAGATTTCTAAACATAATAGTTTTAATAACTCATTTCTAATAACTGATTTCTTTTATCTTTGCCGTGATGATAGCAAATAATATTTCACTAGATCTTTTTCAAGATACTAGCATTCAGCTTAAAGTGACATTTTAAAGGCTTAACTAGGTTAATTAGGCAAGTTAGGGTAATTAGGCAAGTCATTGTTTAACAGTAGTTTGTTCTGTAAACAATTGTAAACAAATGTTGCTTAAAAGGGCCTAATAGTATTGACCTTTAAATGGTTAAAACATTTAAAAACTGCTTTTATTTTAGCTGAAATAAAACAAAAAAGACTTTGTTCAGAAGAAAAAATATTACAGGAAATACTGTGAAAAATTCCTTGCTCTGTTAAACCTCATTTAGGAAATATTTGAAAAAGTAAAAAATGTGACAGGAGGGCGACTGAGGATTCAACTGTATATAATATTTATCATACCTGTGTTTTCGGTTATAAATCATAAGGGTTTTTTATGCAGGTTTTAGAGGATGAGAACGCAAACGTGGATGAAGTGGAATTCAAACCCGACACCCTCATAAAACTCTTCCTGGGCTATAAAAAGTTAGTCCTGAAGTGCATCTCGTATTACAGTTATGAAACTATGATTAATGCATATTTTGATGTACTAGCTAAATGCGTTTGTGAATATTGATGGTTGATTGTTTTGTTTGTTTGTTTTTCTCCACAGTAAAAAGCTGCGAGTGAACATTAATGTGCCAATGAAGACGGAGCAGAAACAGGAACAGGAAACGACTCATAAAAATATTGAGGAGGACAGGAAACTCCTGATTCAGGTATCAGTGTTCATGAGATTAGAAAAATATATTTTTAAGTAACATCTTATATCTAGTTACTTAATCAAGATACATTAAAAACGATACCATTACAGTAACATTTCTGAAGTAATATATCAATTTAAAATAGTTGATTTAGTTTAAAATAATGAATATCTTACTTTTGTACCATAATTTAGGGCGTACTCACACTAGGTGCAGTTGCCTTAAACCGTGCCGAAGCACGCTTGTCCCCCCTCTTCTCTCCCCCTCTGCACTCACATTGCATTTTTATAATAATAATAATAATAATTCCTTACATTTATAAAGCACTTTTCTGGGCACTCAAAGCACCATGATGAAATAAGGTTAGTGGGCAGAATTGGCCAGGATGCTGGTGTAACCCCGCAGAGCCTACGCCACTCAAATTGCTCCGAGCTGGTATCGAACCAGCAACCTTCCGCATGGGAGTCGGTGGCTCTAACAAGGAGGCTAAAGACCATGGCCTCTAGCGTATGTCACTAGAGCACTTTTAGAAGTCAGAGAAGTGAGGTTTACCTGCACAGCACTTACTAGCTGTTCTCTGCTACACTCACCCCCCTAAACCTCACTCCCATCCGGGTCACGGCACCAATGTAACCCCGCCGGTCCTACGCCACCCAACCCGCTCCGAGCTGGTATCGAACCAGTGACCATCCGCATGGGAGTCTAAAGACCATGGCCTCAGAAGAGTGAGGTTTACCTGCACAGCACTTACTAGCTGGCCTCTGCTACACTGGAGTTAAACCCCTTCTCTTTTCGAAGGACATCCTGGGATTTTAAACAACCAGAGAAAGTCGGGACCTCGCTTTAACGTCTCATCCGAAAGACGGTGTTCACTGAGCAGTTTAGAGTCCCTGTAGCACAGAGTCAAATATTTTGCCGAGCAGATCCACAACTTTTCATGCTCATTAATGTCCATGACAGTCGTCGGGTTGCAGGTATTAAGAGGTTTGCTAAAGCTGCAGCGAGGGGTTTGCGTCTTTAATAAAGTCAATTCGCGTTCATTGAAAGTGAACAATGATAAATGAAACCATATGAAACGGTCCCCTAAAAGTGACGTCATCTTCAGTTTCGCGCTTAGGTGTGCTTTGCAATCACACTAAAAGTGTACCATGCGAACCGCGCTCTGGCACACCTCTTCCTACCGGGCCAGGGCCGGCCAACTAAACCGAGTCTGGGCTCAATTCGAAGCACTCACACTTAAAAAGAGTCAGTGAGGGGCAGAGTTCAGAAGGGAGACAGCTCTGGGGGAAAAGCTGTTCCTCAGTCTGCTGGTTTTTGTCCGTGGGAGGCTGAAGCGCCTGCCGGAAGGCAGGAGAGAAAACATGAGCAGAGTCTGTGAGCAGGGTGAGAGGTGTCCTTAAGAATACTGCGTGCTCGACGCAAACACTGTTTCTTTTGGATGTCCTTAATGGCTGGCAATGTGGTCCTTATAATACTTATTCATCCACAGAGTAATGTAATGTAGTCAAATGTTAACAAATACAAGCACAGCCGTTTAGAGCTCATTTCTGTTTAATGATGTCAGAATTTACAAGTATGTTGAATTGAATGTGTGAATGGTCTTTTCCGGAAATATTTTGCAACGTCCTCGCCTGTGTGAACAGTACTGTTTTGAATACACCAGTAAAGTGGAAATTTTCCGGATGTTTACCGGTATCAGTGTGGGAAAGGGGCTAATGTCAGTGACTAAGAGGATTATAAATGTGGAGTTTTAGTTTACCCTATTTTTTCCAAGAGATAATATTAGTCTTGTTTTGAATCTGCCGCTATCATGATGCACAGACATCTCTTTTCGAAAGAGCACATTCTCATTTGAATTTAAAGTCACCAAAACGGCACAATTAGGATCAACACCTAAAAGGGGCAGATTCAAAGAGTTTATAAACAGTATTTGTGTGGTATTTTTGCTGAAAATTCACATACACACTTTAGAGAAATCACAGACTTATTTTAGATCTTGTAAAAAGGGGCATAATAATCACTTTTAATGTGCTTTCTATGTATATAATATCAATTTCAGTAAATTAATTAAATGACTAAATTAAAGTGTTTAAATTAAACACTAATGTAATAATTTTTTACCATCATACTGTGTACTGCAAAATTAGTCTGGTTAATAATAAAACTAGTTGAGATCAGATTAACATAAATATGATTGCGTTTGTCTTATTTTTCAGGCGGCCATAGTGAGAATCATGAAGATGAGGAAGGTTTTGAAGCATCAACAGCTTCTGGCGGAGGTTTTGAACCAGCTCTCATCCCGGTTCAAACCCAGAGTCCCCGTCATCAAGGTCAGTTTCTAGCAGTGATGGAGAGAGCACTAAAAAAGTAGTGCAAGTTAGGGTTGTCATGATACTAAAATTTGGTACCAATCGATACTGAAGTTTTAAAAATGTTCATTGCCCTCGTTCTTAAACACATCTTTGATCTTCGCCAGCACATGTAACCTCTGTTAGAGAGTAACTCCGTCATTCTGAGTTTATAACAGTCCAAAAGGGGATGATAATAGTTAACCATGGCAGTTTGTTCATGTTTTAGGTAACTGAAAGAATTATTCACTCATTCTTTTTTCGGCTTCTCCTTTGTTTTTTTTTTTCCTGCTTAACTCTTGTGTTTGTCTGTTTATAAAAGGATCTGATGTCAGAAGCACTTTAGTAATCACGCGAACATTATTATCAGCTCAAGAATTCATTAATTCAAATATAGGCGTGCGGTAATAAGTTTTATATATATATATTTTTTAACTGACATTTTTTTAAACTTTTGTTTATTTTTTTATTTTAAAGAACGTTTATGTTGAAAAAACAAGTGTATGGATACAAGTAGAGCTTGCTTGTTTTTACATAATATTTGTAATATTTTGCTTAGAAATATCTAAAATATTATTTTTTTATTATTAATTTATTATTGTAATATTAAATGTATTCAATTATACTTTTTTTTTTGACAGGGCAAATAAAAATCTTTTTCATCTGGGCCATTTGAAAAATTCCTTTGTCTTAAGCCATTTATGAGTCTTAAATTGCATTCATAATAGGTCTCAAAAATGTCTTGGGGGGGCTTTCACACCTAGACTTTTGTTAAGGACCCTGGCTTTCTTAGCACCAAAACAATTGGTCTGAGATCGGCAGAATGAGGGGGTCTCGACTCGATTGAAACAAACTCTGAAGCGGATCGATTGTAGTAAGAGAAAAGATTGTAGAGAGAACTATGAATAGGGCGGGAGATCATTCCTACCGGTAGATTCATGTCGAATACGAAAGTGAAAACATGCTAACTATTAACGAGAGCTGTTTCTGTTAGGAAAACTGACCGAGCAGCAGTCTTGGTTTATCTGTTATTTCTCTCTATAATGTAAAGCCTATAATGCTTAATTCTAGCCAAGGGCTCTGTATGAGAAAGTCTTACCTCTGATTTAAATTTGGTGACGATGTCTGTGGGTGTCACTATTTAAAGCCCAGCTTTGCACTTATAATGTCTTATTGATCATCATCGTAAATTTAAATAAGGACGCATGACGGCTGAGCAGACCTCTGCAAAATAAGCCTTGAAATTCTGACCAATGTAAGGAGAGTTTACTCGCTTGTGACTTGTTTTAGCTATTTTGAACTCTGCTGTGTGAAGGCGAACCGCATGAAAAACAAAGAGCAACATTGTAACAAATTTTTAATCACTGTTTCGGAACAAAACAGGTGTGAAAGCACCCTTAAAGTCTTAAATTTAACTGGGTGAAACCTGCTGTCTGTATTAGAGCTCATGCTTTGTCTCGTCTTTCACAGAAGTGCATTGACATCCTCATAGAGAAGGAGTATCTGGAACGGGTGGATGGAGAGAAAGACACCTACAGCTACTTGGCCTAAACATTTCTTTGCTCCTCCATGTCTTTACTGTCTGTCTCTCTCTCTCTCTCTCTCTCTCTCTCTCTCTCTCTCTCTCTCTCTCTCTCTCTCTCTCACTCATTTTTTTTGTTTGTTTTTTTTAAGTTGTCTCTCGGGTAATAAATATCATTCCTCTTGATGTTCGGCCTGTGTTGATGGGATTATGAGAGTTTAATAAGGACTAACAGAAGAGAGGAGTGTGTGCGCGTCAGTAACTTTACTGTTGCCCTGGATGTGGACGGACTGCATTTGAAATGTACATACAAGCGACGGAGACCTCGAGCTTTAATCTCGCAAAATAAAACATCGCAGGTTTGGAAGAACCCAATCAGAAACAAACACATTAAGCATGCTCTTGCCTATCAGCATTTAAATGAAGAAGATGATGAAAAAAAGAACAAAGTTACACTGAAATCGTAGCAACGAGGGAAATGTTTTAAGAGGAGAAAGGAAAAAATCATATAGGAAAATAAACCGCGTGCAATTTTATCTGCACGTACCGGGAATGAGCGAGTTGGACAGGTTTGTAGACGTGTTCTCTGCATTGTTACCTGCTACCAGAAAACCATTTGTATAGTGTGGTTCACTTTTTTAAATGTGTGTTAAATAAAAGGATTAAAAGTTTCTGTATGTATTTCTGATGCTGTGGAGTCACTGTGTGAAGAAAAAAAACAAGACCGTATACTAATTATTCGGACATCGATGTGCATCTGCAGGACCTATCAATCTGGAACCTTCCTCAAAACAGGTCAAGTCAAACCATCTGAAAAGACATGAGGTAAAAAACATAGGAGCTCTCATATTTTTCAAATTTCCATTATTTTTTGCAGTGTCTGTATGCAGATTTTATTCACAGGAGTACAAGAAAACATGGTGGATAAAATGTATAATGTAATGTGTATTTATATAGCGCATTAATTGTGTAAATAACCCATACAACATACACCCAGAGCGCTTCACAATCATGAGGGGGGTCTCTCCACTCCACCACCAGTGTGCAGCATCCACTTGGCCAATGCGACAGCAGCTGCAGGACAATGGCGCCAGTGCGCTCCACACACCAGCTATTGGAGGAGTAGAGAGACGGTGATAGAGCCAATTCAGTGGATGGGGATGATGGAGGGAATTTGGCCAGGACACCTTGTTACACCCCTACTCTTTACAAGAAGTGCCTTGGGATTTTTAATGACCACAGAGAGTCAGGACATCGGTTTAACATCTCATCCGATAGATTGCACTCAATGACAGTATAGTGTTCCCTTCACTATACTGGGGCATTAGGACTCATGCAGACCGCCGGTGCCTTTGCTGGCCTCACTAACACCACTTCCAACAACAACCTTGTTTTCCTAAGTGGGACTGATTAGGCTCAGCCCGACTTGGCTTCAGTAAGTAACCAGTTTTAAGCTAAAGGGTGATATGACTGTGGCCACCGTTCAATTGTATTTGTCTAAACGACTTTGATTAACTTTTTTCTTGGACGTACTTCAAATGCTGACTTCATTCATTTTTCTTGCTCACCACAGCGGAATGAACCAGCAACTTAGCATATCTTTCACTGGTGGATGGCCTTCTAGCTGCAACCCAGTACTGGGAAACATCCGTACACACTCATTCACAGACATACGCTACAGCCAATTTAGCTTATTCATTTCACCTATGGCGCATGTGTTTGGACTGTGAGAGAAACCCAGAGGAAACCCACGCCAACACGGGGAGAACATGCAAACTCCACACAGAAATGACAAATGACCAAGCCGAGGCTCGAACCAGTGACCTTCTTGCAGTGGGGTGACTGCTAACCATGAACCATGGTGTCACCCTCAAATGCTGACTTTAAATATAACATATGATGAAAAAATACAGCAAAATATGTACATAAATGTTTAGATATAGATTTCATCTCTTCTGTTCACCGTAAAAATATAGTCATGTAGGTTTGGAAGCACTTGAGAGTAAATATTGAGAACATTTAAATTTTTGGGGGGAACTGTCCATTTAATGTAGCGATGATGGTGGGCATGTGCATTTGTTTTGATAAGCAACCTTGTTAACTAATGAGACATAACTAACTAATGAGACATAATGCTAAAGTGGAATAAAAGGATATGTAAAATATTTATAAAAGTAAAGAGTGCGTTAATCTATGGGAATTCGGTCATATTTCTTGATTTGTTTACAAATGACACGCTCCAAGCAGATCATTGAAACAGGTTGACTCAAATCAGACGATTGAATTGTCCACTGAACCGACTCTGAAAGGTTAATCACGAAATGAGTCTGTCTCGTTGTAAGTCATATTTGTTTTTAGGAAATTTAATAGAGTATAATATAATTAGTTGTGATTTAGAGTAAAGTATTGGTAAAGGTTGGAAATACTTCGATAAAGTGCGTTTTATGCTGAATCGACCGCCAAACGCCCCCTGCAGGAGGATCACAGATGCCTGTACGGCACGGATGGTTATTAGTATTTTGTTGTGTTTTAATAATACAATCCATCATTTATACAATCATATTAATAACCATAACATTGGATGACATCAAGTAAAACGGAGATAAATAATACTAAAAACAATATTTAATTACAGAGGGAAAATTATCCTTAGTTTCAGTTTTTACACTTTTATTGCTGCCTGTAAACATTGTGTACTTAAATAATTTGTCACAAGAAAGTCCTGCAAATTAGGTAATGATGAACAAAATTTATATTTGTGAATATAATATTTGGCCATTAAATTAAATAATTTGCCTATATAGTCTGTTATGTTTCTCATGAGAAAAGTAATAATCAAACATAGAAAAACCCACGTTGAACTTTTTAATGTAAATTTGTCAGTATTTTTTTATTGCCAGACTAAAACAATAACAGAAAAATTAGATAATTATATTTCTTATTTATAAATATAATATACAGGTAAATAAACCATACAGGAGGTAAAAAAAAACAAGAAAATACTCCATTAATGTGTTGTCGTAATGTATCAAAACTTTGGCTTTTGTGTGTGTGTGAATCTAAAAGAGGAAACGAGAGTCAAATTCGTCAATAAAAATGGGAAAATGCAAAGGAGATTTAAGCCATTTTTGCTTTTAATGTTTTTTTTTCATTCATTTTTTTTTACAGATAACAAATGTAATTAAAAAAAATAAAATTTTATTTTATTTTTCATTAAGTCTCTGAGGACAAAAGTGTGAGTCAAAATTTGTAAACGTAAAAACATAAGAACTCAACCCAAACTCTTTTTGTTAGACCAATATTTGTTAGTATTTTATTTTTTATTAAAGAATGCAAATATACAACCACAATCAGGAGATCGATATTAGAGACATACAAAGGAGAGAAAAAAATACAAACATTAGCTGCAGAAAGTGGAGAAGAAAAAAGATTAACAAAACAAAGGAAGGGGTAAGTAAATTGTACAAAAGTATCTGAAAATAAATTAAGAGCATTAGGAAAGCGTTCTAACTCAAATGAGAGTCAATAGACAACAGTTCTTCATATAGAACCAGGAATCTGACACATATTTGGTTTTTAAACATAATTTGAGCAGTAAGTCAACTTCAATCAGAAAATGTCGAAAAGTAGGGACTGAAGCCATGCATTTTTGCTTATGCATAAAAAAATTCCAAACAAGATAAAAAAAAAGTTGAAGATAAATTCTTTAGATTTATGTGAAGATTCTGAGTAATAACAAATAATTTCTTTTAAACTAAAAAATTGTGCAAAGGTGGGAGGGGTGTTTAAATAACGATAGAGGTCAAACCAAAATTTCTGAACTAATTAATATTTCTTAGTAATTTTTTTATAGCTCTGAAACATTACATAAAGTAATAATACAACAATTCAGATATATGCTATATCCAAAAACATTACTAGTTACAACAACAACAACCAGAAATGATAATGAAGCAAAGATATAACAGGAGAAAAAGAATTAAAAAAATATATAAAATAAAATAAAAAAATAATAAAAAAATTAAAATTATTATAAAATACTACTATACATATAAACAACAATAATAACTTAGGATAAAATTATCGACTACAGCGGGGGATCATTACTAGAGAGAAATTCCTTCATGAAATTAACATTAAATCATTCTTTTTGTTTTTAATTTGCATTTGAGACTTTTTTTTTAATTTTCCATTTCTAATAAAAAATATTGCATTTTGATATACATTTCGAAAATTTCTGTTTATGTATAAAATATTTACCTTGTAAAATGTAGAAGTTAACAACATACTCGAATGTTTATCAGTAATTTATGGAAACTTACGTCGTTTGGTTGACGTCATGACGCTTGTATATGATTGGCTGAGTCATTACCTGCTCCAGGTGTGCGTGTGTTGGTCGAGTGATGGAGCCTGGTGTCGAAGCGGCGGGCGTGCACGTGCGCGATGAACTGTCCGAGAAGTGTCAGAAGTTGTTTCTGGAGTTTTTGGAAGAGTGAGTTTAGCTGGTTGCACTTATGAGATGGATTTACGTGTTTTATAATCTATGTCTGGGATTTGTCAGGTTTCAGGATAAAAACGGCGACGCTCTATATCTGTCGGACGCGCAGGAGCTGATCCGACCGGAGAGAAACACGCTGACCGTGAGCTTCAGCAACATCGAGCACTACAACCAGCAGCTCGCCACCACCATCCAGGAGGAGTACTACAGGTCAACAACTGATGATTTAAAGGGATAGTTCACACAAAAATGAAAATTTACATTCGTTTTACTCACCCTCAAGATGTTCCAAATCTTAAAATCTTTCTTCATTATATTCAACTCAAAAGAAGATATTTCAAAGAAACTAAAACATGTAACCATTGACATCCATATTAGGAAAACAAATACTACGGAAATCAATGGCTACAGGTTTCCAGCTTTAAAATGCCTTATTTTCTGCTCAACCGAAGAAAGTCAAACAAGGTTGGAACATGTAAATAAGGTTGTGTTAGCTAATGTATTTACTAGCTTGAACAAACATCGAGCAATGCATATATGATCTATTCATGCTTTTTAACCTTAGTTAATGGGTTGTTAATTTTAGTTTGGTAACGCTTCACGTTAACTAATGTTACCAAGCATGAATTTGGATTTTTATTATGCATTAGTAAATGTTGAACTATGATTAACGAATGCTGTTCATGTGTTGTACATTATTAGTTCATGTTAGTAAATGCATGAACTAATGAATCCTTATTGTGAAGTGTGATCAAACCATTTTCCAATATGTTATTACGGTCAGGTATTATTATTTGCTGATAGCAGTGGTGTCGTCCTTAAAAAAAAAAAGGTGGTGTACCATTACGAACCCAACATAAATTTCAAAAGTGGGTAAAGAAACGTCAAAAGGAAATGTTTCTTTGATTCATTAGCTATATATATATATATATATATATATATATATATATATATATATATATATATATATATATATAGGCCATTCTTCAACTACGGGCACTTTTAGCCTTATGAAGTCGAGTAAAAAAACATTGTTTTAAAATTAACGTAACAGCCTTATAAGTTTAGACAATTTGTCTAGTTATAAGATCTGTAAGACGACAAACTTGGAAGAAGAGATACAATGTGTCCATCGTGAACTGAACAAATATCATTTCCACCACATCTCAATAAACAGCTTTT